ACAGAAGGATTGAAATGTACTTGCTTTGCTTCTGTATCAATTTCAGATACTTTTTGTTTTTGGAACAACAATTTTCTTTCTCCAGATATTTTCAAATATTCCATCAGGAGTAAAGACTCATTCTATCATTATTTCAGTTAATCATAGCTGCAAGATTATTATTTCTCACATAGATTATCAGCACTAGGAATATATCTACCTGGAAGCTGTGTATCAGTTAATGGGTTTATTGTATTTTTAAGTTTTCTGTGTAACTCATACCAAATTTAAAATTTGATGCCCAGCAGAATTAAGTGAATAAATCTGAATGCAAACAACCAAAATTGCAGTGATCTTTATACAAGTAACTTTGGCAGTATAGATAGTCCTGAACTTAAATTGGTTCGTTTATGACAATTAGAAATTACAACAGCACCAAAAAAAGTAACGACTGATTTTCACACTTATGACTGTTGCAGCATCCCCATGGTCATGTGATCAAAATTCAGACTGACTGAAATTTGCAGTGTCTTGGGATCATGTGATAACCTTTTACAACTTCTGACAAGCAGTTAATGGGAAAGTCCAATTTGCTTTACAACCATGTTACTATCTTATAACTGCAGTGATTCATTTAACAACTGTGGCAAGAAACATCATAAAATGGAACAAAACACATGAAACTATCTCACTTAGCAACAGTAATTTTGGCTCAATTGTGGTTGTAAGTCAAGGACTACCTTATCTACCTTAAAACTGGACCTTACATTAAGGTCAAATGAATTTTAGAAAATCAATTTTTCTCAAGGTTTCTTGCAGTCTGGGTGACAGCCACTTGCTTAACAGCCTAATATCTGGAAGGTTGCTTTCTTTCTTGCCTCCACAAGTTGTGAATTCTCGAACACTAAGTTTTTCAGAAGACGTTTTTAAGAAGAGACTGGACAACCATTTGTCTGAAATGGTATAGGGTTTCCTGCCTGAGCAGGGGGTTGGACTTGAAGATCTTCAAGGTCCCTTCCATCTTTGTTATTCTATTCTATTCTTATACTATTCCTATTCTATTGTTATCCCTATCCCTACCCCACCCCATCCCTATTCTATTCACTTTAGGATCCAGATTGGGTTTTACCAGCATATTGAATAGTATGATTTCTTTCTTTTTAAAAGGCTCTCTCTTTCAAGGAGGAATTTACAATCCAGACTAAACTATTCCATCCTCTGTTATTTAACATAACAAATCACAATGGGTAAGGTTGAAATATGCAGGTGACCAGTTTCACACACTTGGTCATCATGCAGTGCACCTAAATCAGGGTCAAACTTGCATTGTCACAGCAGTATCATGTGATGTAGAGGGACTTTCCCCCCTTCGCTAAACTGGGTGAGGACAAGGCCAGTACATCTGGCCTGCATGCTGCGAGTTTGACACCCCTGACCTAGATGAATGCATTTCCCAGAATTATATTTAAGATATGTGGATATATTCCTAGAAAACTTGGAGGGGGCTTTTGAGCAGCATACTAAACTTTCAGTGCTTGATTTGGGACTTTGAGAAACAGATCTAGAAATTTATTTAATTTACAAGGGAATAAATGCCTGAGAACAATTATGCAAAGTGCCTATCTATGCGTAATAAGAGCTTCAGCAGGAATATTAGTCATACTTACCTGATAATTCCATACAACATTCTGGGAACCATTAGAATTCTTCTTGATGAAAGAGGAGTTGGGATATTCTTGAAAGACTACATTTCAAGAAGAAGAACACAGATCCAGAATATCACTACTGTTTTTATTGGAATGATGTCATATTGGAACAACCCTGTCATTGGGCACATTTTCATAAAATCATTAGTCCCTTAAATTAAGTTGTGTAGTCTTCACAAATGGTCTACTGATAAATTGCAAGTTGTCTTGAGGGATATATGTAGTAGTACACAGTTGTTGTTTCCCGTTAATGTCATAATGTGGATTCTACAGACACAAGTCTACAAATGATTAGTTCATGAAATTGTATGAAACTCACTAAACTCATACCAACTGTTGGATAAGCTGGTTTTTTTTTTTCAAACACTCAGTAATGAGAGGAAAACATGGTAGTATGATTTCTCCTCCATCAAACTGATAGGGTGTACATTGTATTTGGAAGATCCATGGAATCAAATCTTGTCAACGTGACAAAGTTGTTCAAGTCATTTTTAACTTTGAGAGAATAATTTAGGAGTATACTGCTTCCACTAAATTACCATCTAAAAGTCATTTTAAAAAATGTAATATTTCAGTTTTTTTAAATTTTTGAATACATTGATGTAGAAAGTGTTCTTTTAAAGAAATATCCAAGTACAAATTGCAAATGCATTTTTTATTTATTTCTGATTGGAAACATTTTATTTTTCACATGGGTGGGGGCCACTAAGAATAGTCTATTTTATGGGATATGCTTGCAATTGAAATCTAACAAAATTCCTTTTGAAGAAACTAAACTCTAGCCATGCTGGAAAACTGATTTATAATAGACAGTGAAAGGGGCATAAGATCTTTGTGTGATGAAATATTTAAAAACAAATCATTGTTACCTGTCCTACAGAAGTGACAACAAGATCAATCTGGTGATGGTTAGCATACCTTGATACAGGAAAAATTATTTACAAAAAGTTTTAACAAATACAAGCTTTGTAACTAATTGTTTAAAAGCTCTTGGAATAGACAATATACTGTAGATAGCACTGTGAAATGGGTACATATAAGACAAAATTGTGAGGAATGTACTGTGCATATGTCAGACAAAGTCCTTTGGATTTGTTCCACGTTGGACTCCAGGCTTGGGGAGATCCTCTGGAGATGACTCTTAGAGGTAGTGATTCCCCCCCCTTCTTAAGAAGTCATTGTTGCTGGACAATTTTTATCCAGTTTCCAACCTTAGTTTTTTTAGGGCAGGTTATAGAGAAGGTAGTCATGCAATAGCCACAGAGAATTCTCAAAGAAGCAGGTTATCCAGATATATTACAGTCAGGTTTCAGGCTTGGATATGGGACCAAAACAGCATTGCTTGTGCTTGTGGATAACATCTGTTGGGTGAAGGAGGGGTGGTGCATTCATCCTTCCTCTTCTTGACCTGCCAGTGGCCTTCAATAACATCAGATGTGGTATTCTTTTGCAATGGCTTTGAAGAGTGTTTGGCATTGTGTTGGCTAGCTGTCTTTCTTTTTCCTGGGTTGGTTATAGTTAGAGTTGATGATGGGGAAGCCCAGCCCTCTGCCCCTCCTTTGCAGGGTTCCCTGGGGCTTGGTTCTCTCTCTTCCCCCATTTAATGTCTACATGAAGCCCCTGCGTGTGGTCACCTGATGGCACCACGCCATCAGTATGCCAATTATACCCAGTTTTTATATCTCTACCCCTGATTACCCAAATGATGATATGGAGGTTCTGTCTCAGTGACTGGAGGCTATATGAGGAACAACAGGCTTCAGTTCAATCCTAGCAAGACTCAGTGGCTTTAATTATTAGGGTCCCCTGGTTTTGGAGAGTTTCCATCACTAATTTTGAATGGAATGGAATTATCCCAAACAGAACCTGTGCACAATTTGGGAGTCCTTCTGGACTCACAGCTCCTGTTCAAGGAATGTGTGTACCAGTAGTGCCTGTTCTTGGACCACAAATCCCTACTCATAGTCACTCATTCTCAGTCACCAACTGAGTGGACTACTGATTTACATAGGGTTGCCCTTGAAGACTATTTGGAGGCTGCAGCTGGTACAGATTGCAGTAGCACAAGCAGGTGTATGTGTTCCTTGATCAGTGCATGCTATACCTCTGCTTGAGGGACTGCCTTCCCTGATGATGTCCACCTGTCTTATTAGGTCTGGCACGACAAGCATGGTGTGGGGTCCTGTCATGATGGAGCCCTGGAAAACAGTATTTTCTGTGGTGGCTCCTGCCCCTTAGAACATTATCCTTCCAGATAATAGATTGGTTCTGACCCTGTTTGCTTCTTGTAAGGTCCTAAAGACAGGGTTTTGTCACTGGGTTTGGAGATCCGGATATGAAAGAGCCATGCAGACGTTGGGCTAATTTATGATTTTTAATAGTGGCTGCTGATTATATTTATGCACTTTTTAAAATGTGGTTTTGTGTTTTTATATAGTTTTTAATTATGGTTAGTTGCCCAGAGTCATGAATTAGAGATAGGCAGGCATATACATTAAATAAATAGAATTATCTCATTCCCCCACCCCCCACCCCTCTTTAACAACTCTTAAATTTTGTGCCCAAGGACTGGAAAACAACCAGCATAATCCCAATTTTAAAAAGGGATGAAGGGATTGAATACAAAAGATTAAAAATCAGCTTCATAAAGAATTACAGCATGCTGTTCCCATCATGATTTCCCCTGAAATATCTAATCATGGGAGAAATCTTGACATAGAAAAAAATACAAAGAATTTTTTTTTCAATTATTCAGAAGTATAGCATATCAAAGGTTTACCTGCCAGAATTTTTTATTTTCAAACATATCTAAGTCACTCTGAATTATGTATGTAGTGTCCTTTAAAAAAAAAAAAGTTGGATATCCTTGGAGGGATAGGTTTATATAAAAATAGGGTCAGAGGCGAGGATCTAGCAGTTCCTTCAATAGCTAACTTTTCAGCCTTCACCTTGTGTAGCCAGTGCAAAATCTTCCCAACGTATCACCGGAGTCTGATGAAAGGAAGATCAAGGACAAAAAAAACAACAAAAAGGGAGACATTTTTATGTGATAAGCCAATGCTGCACAGCAATTCTACATAAGTTAAATACCAGAAGTAATCAAGCTCCCTTAGGAAGCCCAGTGAGAGCAGTAGCTATTTACACATTTCACACAAAAGCTTCAGTGAGGTGGTGGATTCACATCTCCCATAATCATTTCATCAGGGCTGTGTGCCATTACGCACACGCAGACATTCCTCAAATGAAAAAAAAAGAAAACCCAGGCAAAAGTCTGAGACTGAACAAAGGCTCCCAAGTGCTCCCAAGAATACTCACTTTTCTACTTCGTCTGTGTTTTCACATAGATCCTTGGTAACCCAGATTTTCCTTCTTCTGTCACAGGAGCAGTCAGCCATCTCACGGGACAAAAGAGCAAGTTGGCTGTAAGGCAGGGTACTTCTCAAGCAATAGCAACAGGATCAGGTAGGAATCCTTGCCTTCTCCTGCCTGCAGTATACCGATTAACCTTGTCTAGTCCTCTTAAAAAAGAAGAGTGAAAAGAAAACATGAGCCCTGGCAGGCTTAAGAACTAGTTCACTCACCATAAGAATGTGAAGCAAGAGATGAGTAACACCCACGTGACTGTTCTGGTAGGTAATTATCTGGGAAAAGAAAGCTTGGAGCATTAAAGAAAGAACTTTGCTTTACAAAGTTGTGTTTGAAGTGTCCTGGGGAGCAAAGGTGATTGCTGATTGACCTTTCCCCCCCCTCTATATAAGATTAAACCTTTAAAAGCAACAACAAATTCATGAGTTCATTAGCTTAGCAAAATAGTGTCTTTTTAATAATTGCTCCATTTCTTAGGGTTTCCCTTTCTTGCTCCATTGCAGCATTTCTTAGGGTGTGGGTCCCACAACTCTTGGGTATTCTCAAGACCCCCTCAGAAGTCCTCGAAATTAAGATTATTTGCCAGCCTATATTGAAAAAAATATATTAAAATTCTATCAAACAATTGCGAGAAGAGGTAGCAGCAACAAACGCATCAATTTTATTTTTTAATATGATAAATTTCAATAAATGTAACCCACAGAAACAAAACCTCTTTTTGTGATCCTTTATAATTTTTAAAATTAGGACATAGGAAGGGCTCCTGAGAAGAAGAAAAAAATGTTTAAGAAAAATGTTTCTTAAATGTTTCATTAGTGTATGTGGAGTGTGCTCATGTATTTCTTTATTTTGCAGCATTTCCATATTGCCCCAGTCGTAGAGCTTTGAGGGTGAACAAAAACAAACAAATCACAAAGCCATAATCAAAACAACAAAAAGGTAATAAAGCCAGTAACACATAGCTGCAAGAGCAGAACCACAAATTAGAACTGAACCACTGAAAGAGGTTTTTGGTTCCCTCCTGAATGTTAAAAGGGGAGGGTACTATTATACTGAGAGGCAGGCAGGATGTCGCATAAGAGGCCTGGTCCATATGTCTTGACTCATGGGATGTGGGAGGCATAAGCAGCAGAAGCAGTATGGTCTAGAGCCGTGATGGTGAACCTATGGCATGCGTGCCGGAAGTGGCATGCAAGAGGTTGCCTGGAAGAACCCCCACTGCGCATGTGTGCATGCCCCTGCCAGCCAGCTGATTGTTGGGTATCTGCCCTGCATGTGCGTGGGGAGACATGTGCACATGCGCAGAGGCATGCAGCATGCAGGGGGGTTGCATGCGCATGTGCAGAGGTGTGCATGGGATCACATGAGCATGTGCAGAGATGTGCAGTGCACACGCAGGGGCCATGCACGCATGTGCAGGGGCGTGGAGGGAATCGCATGTGCACTTTTAGCATACAACTTGGAAAAGATTAGCCACCACTGATCTAGAGGTTAAGGCAACAGGCTAGAAACCAGGAGACCGTGAGTTCTAGTCCCAGGGTGAGTTCTAGTCGCAGGGTGACTTTGGACCAATCATGTTGTCTCAGCCCAACTCACCTTACAGGGTTGTAGTTGTGAGGGAAATGGGAAGAAGACGGAGTGTTAGGCATGTTCACTGTCTTGACTAAGTTATACTTCTAACAATTTGTTTAGTGACTGTTCGAAGTTACAGTGGCACCAGTGGTGGGCTTCAATTTTTTTTATTACCGGTTCTGTGGGCGTGGCTTGGTGGGCATGGCCACGTGACTGGGTGGGTGTGGATTTTTTTTTCTTTTTTTTCTTTTTGTTGCCTCTACCCATTTTGGGGAGCTTCCCACCCCTGGGCACACAGCACCCCTCCAAACTCCGTTTTGGGAGCTTCCTATTCTCAGAGGTGCCTCTGGGGAGGCGTTTCTGTTCCCCTAAAGCCCCTCTAAGGCTCAGGAAGAAAAAAACAGAGCATGGGAGGGATGGGATCCGACCGATATAACTACCAGTTCTGTTGCTCTGCGTCGCGTGTGCATACGCGAGTTGCGCATGTTGTGTGAGTGCAATTTATGACCTCCTGAGCTGCCCGGATAGCTGAGCAGCACTGCGTGCAAGTGCGCAGTGGTTGGAAAAGCCCCTTTTCCCTGCTTTTTCAACCACAGCTGTGTCACGCAAAGCAGCTGCAGTTGAAAAAGCAGGAAATAAAGGACAGGTAAGAGCCTGGGCAGGCAGGTGGGCCAAAACAGCAGCAGACATAAAACCAGTTCTATGTCTGCTGCTCTTCAGAGCAATCGATTCTACAGAGGTGGACAGAACTGGTAGAATCCCACCCCTGGGCACACAGCACCCCTCCAAGCTCTGTTTTGTGAGCTTCCTAGCCTCAGAGAAGCCTCGGGGGTGGGGGTGTTTTGCTTCCTTTGGGGCTCTGGAAGGCCAAAAATGGAGGGCGAATGTCAGGCGGGTGGGTAAACAAACATCGGGCGGGAAGGCGACTGGATCAGGGACATGGCCAGCCAGAACTTATTATTGGTTCGGCGACCCACACCAAATTCTTGCTACCAGTTTGCCCGTCCAGGGCAAACTGGCTGAATGCCACCACTGAATGGCAGCGACAAAAGTGGCTTAGGACCGTTTTTCACACTTATATGGCCATTGCAGCATTCCCATGTTCATGTGATCAAAATTCAGATGCTTTGCAACTAGTTCGTATTTACGATGGTAGCAGAGTGCCGGGGGGTGTCGTGTGATCCCATTTGCAACCTTCTAGACAAGCAAAGTCAATGGGGAAGCCAGATTCACTTAACAACGGTGTTACTAACTTAACAATAGCAGGATTCACTCATAAACAAGTATGGCAAGAAAGGTCATAAAATGTGGCAAAACTCACTTAACAACGGTCTCGCTTAGCAACAGAAATTTTGGGCTCAATTGTGGCCACACGTTGAGGACTAGCTGTATTTATTTTCAGCAAGGTAAGGTCATGAGATCAAACAGGCCCTCCTTTGAAAGCCCAACTTGGGACCTTATCATTGAGACAAACAGAATTACATGTGCTTGTCATAGATTTACACAAGTTTGACTAGAGGTAAAACCTGAGGTGACTTTCTGGAGTAGCAAAGTGATATAGATCCCCACTGGGCACAGAAGTTTTTTTTCATACATGTTTTACTTTCTGTTCTGTTTTTCGTGAATAGTCTTGAATTTCAAATAGCATTGTGATACCACCAGGGAGGGGGAAGGGACTGTAATTTTATACATACAGATTTGTTGCTGGGAAAGGCAGCTTCATCAAAATGTTCAGTCAAATAATAAAGCTTTAAAATATGCTCACTTTTTTTTTAAAAAAACAACTCTGTTTGCCATTTGAAGGCATGCTTTCGGTGTCCTGGTTAAGTCATCAGTTTTGTAACAACAGGAGAGAACTTTCCTAGGGCTTGGTGCCAAAATAGAGAACTCATTTGTATTTACATTTCTCTTCAAAATGCCTTCACGGTTTTTACCCAAGTAGATCCCGGCTTCTTCCTTTCCGCCTCCTCTTATGTTTAGCCCTGAGAACTACAGGAAATCCTTTGGAAGTTGCCCCCACCCAGCTTTTACATGCTTCTTTGCAATGCAAATTTTCTCAGATGTTGATATGCAAATACCTGCAAAGCTAATGCCTTGCAGCTCTCCCTCCTGCCACTGCTGCTGTCTCCTCTGATAAAACAGATACTAGCCATTTATTTCATAAGTTATAGTCTCAGAGGATAACAACCCTTAGAACAGGGATTGTCCAACCCTTGGCTCTAGACAGGTAGTAATGTGCCACCCCGCCCCCCAAAAATCATAAATATGTAACATTATAATGTGATTTATATACCTTAACTATATTATATATTTTATGTGCAGCCCAAGACAATTCCTCTTTGCTCAGTGTGGCCCAGGCAAGCCTGACACGCCTCACATAGAGAGTCTTGTAACCTAGTACTAAGTAGCCTAGTAACCCAACCTGGGAAAACACACAAAAATTCCAGGGCTGTAGCTTACTTCTTCTTACTCCAGAAAGTTGAAAATTCAGTACAGATAGTCCTTGCTTAATGACTGGTTCCTTAGCATCAGTTCAAAATTATGACAGACCCCCCCCCCCAAGCTCCTTATGGCCCCATTTTAATGTTACAGCCACTGCAGTACCCGCCTCATGGCCATTTGCCCTTCTGACTGTTCATAGAGGTGTTGCAGAATCCTCCCTACCCTTCCTCCCTACCCTACCCTGCTGTCAGTAGGTGGACTGAGGGTGGGGGAGGTCCTTGGGAGACCCGGAGTAGGCGGGCCTGGGCCTGCGCTAGGCCTCTATGGGCGTCTTCCACCCTTGAGGCACCCCATGCTCCACCTAACAACCTGCAATGAGCAGTGGTGGCACAGTGGTTAGAATGCAGTATTGCAGGCTAACTCTGCTCCCTGCCAGCAATTCGATCCTGACCAAAGTTGACTCAGCCTTCATCCTTCAGAGGTCGGTAAAATGAGGAGCCAGATTGTTAAGAGGCGATATGCTGACTATGTAAATTGCTTAGAGAGGGCTGTAAAGCACCATGAAGCAGTATATACCTCTAAGTGCTAGTCCATCAGGGACAGGAAAGAGTGGGAGCCATTAAGCAAGGCTGTCTTACATAAGGGCCATCATCACTTGCGGCTGTAATGAGCAGATTCTGTTTGAGGACATCCTGTACGTCCTAGAGGTTTGAGGACTGCCTGTACCTCCTGGAAGAAGGCATTACCGAGACATGGTTGTACTGTTGTGAAGAAAAATTAAGAGAAGAGCACGTGTAGTCACAAGCTGATGTTGACCTGAAGGCTTTTTTTTAATGATAGTAAATATAGATAGCATGGTTTTCTTAATATTCACAAGCTATTGCTTTAATTCTTATCCTGACTTAAGGCAATTTGTTTGGCTTGCAACCAACACGTTTTACTTTAAGAAATGGCTGGTTTAAAGAGATCTGAAAGCAATTACTCAGTAACAGAGTCAGGCTTGTCCATGTGGGCAACAAGTTCAGTACCTATGAAACTTGGGAAAGGAAGAACAGGTTTTCCAAAACCAAGAGAATTTGGACTGGATTGTTGCAATTGCAGAACTGAAGAGGAGGCAGCGAGGCAGCAGCCAAGAGCAAGCAGCAGAAGAGGAGAACT